GTTCTTCCCCTTCCAATACAAATTCTCACTTCCAGAGGGGACCAATCAATGGTGATGAGACAATCCATGAATAACTTAGGTTTGGAGAAGAAAACAAAGTCCTTGGATTAGGCTTCTCATTATGCAGGAAGAATAAAGACCTGTGATTTGTCAGGCTCTCTTTGGACACATTGATGTCCAAATTTTGTTTCACATTAATTGATGGGAAGGATATATGACAATAAAAATGAGTTATGTCCTCACTACCCACCAAACTGCATGTGTCTACACTGTGTCAGATGACTATATGAAGCCCCCTGCAAGGAATTCAGGCGCATGCCATTTTAGAATTGTAAGAAAGTAGAACTAGTTGAATCTAGTGTTTTTTCCAGTGAGGCTAATTGAAAATAATAATAATTAACTATCTTCAAATATTGAGATAACTGCTATTTTACTTTTGTGGTAATTCCAAATATAATATAAAGTTATAAGCAAGGTGATTTAAAAAAATATACCTATGCAGATGAATAGCATACCTTCTAGAAATGATTACATTCTACTGATTTGTTCCCCTTTTGCAGTTTGCTGCATTTACTGGTTCAATCTCTTGTTTTCTTTAGAATGCAAACATCAAAAGAGTATGTGGTTTGCTTATCTCTGTTTATACAGAATCTATCAGTTTCTAGTATACATATGATAATATTCTCTCCAGCACCAGTTGTTGACAACATTTCAATTATAATGTTCATTTCTTTGTCAACACTAGTCTCCCCAAACTCAGAGAACATCAGAAAGAATGTAGAGTCCTGCAAAATAGTCCAGGAAGTGATCATAATACCTGAAACTTGTTGCATATTGAGTTTTCTCTACAAATATATTAACAATTTCCATAGAAAATAAGTTTCTAGTCACATTCAACATACACAATCATTTATATACCCAAAGATTCAGTATCCAGCAAAAGAGATCTTATTTCAAAAGAAAAACTATTTATGTCCTCATATCCTGAGATATTTCCAATTTATTTTTGTCACTATTTTTTTAAATAGACCAAAGTCTCCTCCAAATATTGGAGGTAGAATCCCATGATACACTTGCACTCCAATTACTTATGATATTGTATGGATCAATGATAAACAATATAAGAGATTTGTTGTTTTAAAATGAGAACCCATCTGCTAGTATGTTCTTCCCACTTGGCAAGATGGGCCCCTTTTTACTTCCCTAAGTTTGTGCTTCCACTTAAAAAATCTTTCTTTTGTCAAGACACTGATTTTAAAAATTGTTCTTTGTTCATCTGTACAAATACCATGAGGTTTAAAAACATTCATGGCAATGGTGTGGTTATATCAACCCCAGGACAGATGGCTAAATGTGTTTGTAGGTTGAGTTTGATTTTGGTAAGACAGCTTAATTTTGAAGTTTGCATGGTTTTCAGGCTGAAAAAGCTGATTTTCATTGGGAGGTCAGTATTTAACATCAGTTCTTGTATCCTGACAGTGTTACTATGAGAAGTGAATTTCCTAAGTGATTCCATAGGTTTGGGAATTTTTTAAAAAACATTTGTTTTTCATTTGTAGATGAGCACAATACTTTTATTTGACTTATTTATTTTAATGTGGTGCTGAGGACCGAACCCAGTGCCTCATGCGTGCTAGGCAAGTGCTCTGCCACTGAGCCACAACCCCAGCTCAGGTCTGGGAATTTATTTTAATAGTTTAGAATATTACATATTTTGTTCCATTCCATTAATCACCCACAGTGTTGTTGTGAATGGAAAGTTAACACAACACTTATAGTTTTGAGAAACACAACATTGTTCTTGATGATGTACAGTGTCACTGAAGTCACTGAAGAATAAGTGATTTATTAAGTAATAGACTATTGTGATTTTTAGCAGGTATGAGTTTGGTTTTATTGCAAGGCACACAGTCATATATACAATGCATAATTACCACTTTCTAAAAGTATTAGATATAAATAATATACAATATAGTAATGAATATATGAATCTACTTTTCTTTCAGAGAAGAAAATCATCTTGGCGCAAGTAATTTATGCTCTTTTTGGATGGGATTTTCCTATTTATGCTGAATCATCCAAACAACTCTTGCTTAGAAAAGAAATCTCTTTGAGCGGACATAAAACCTTGCCACAATTTTCCTTACAATGCTCTCATTTAAAACCAGTCAATGTGTTACTTTTATTCCAGTTATTCATCTGTGTCCTAGTAGTAGATGAAACATCTATAAATGGTCTGATGCAAGTTAATAAAAGTTTATTTCTCAGTAATATATCACAGAATGGAACCAGTTTTCTTAAGTTGTCTGTGAAAATTTCTTGATTTCTTCCCAAAAAGTATTTTCAAACTGCACTTCTTTTTTAGTGGTAAGCCCTGACCCTAAACTCTTTGCATAGGGGATGATCCTAGGTTCATAAGCAGACCAGGGCACTAAGAGTGTTTTCCACTTTCGTCCCAGTTAGAGTTGTGAGTTTCCTCCTCACTGCTGACTCCTGCATGGCTGGTTCATCTCTCTGTATTTTCTCTGACCCCTCACTACATCCTGTCTTCCCAAAGTTGTTATAAACACAGGAAGAAAGAGTTCACACAGACAGTCAATCTCAAGGTCAGAGACACAGCAGGCAGTGCCCTTCTTGCTGAGGTGGGAGAACAGGAACATCAGGAGTTATCTGAGAGGCAGTGAGGTTTGGACAAATGCTTTGTCTGGAAAGATGAAAGGATGGCAGTACGATCGCTCTTCACAGCAGCCCACACACTGACACTCACACATACATGCAAACAGACATGCTTTGGACAAAGAAACACATTTATAGAAGGGGTACTTTTCCTACCCTATGTAAATCACTTTATCATTCCTTTAAAGCAGTACCCTAAAATGACATTTCATCTTCCTTCTCTTCCTTCAGTTTGAGGAAGTCAGTGTGAACAATAATCCAGAAGCTACTTATCTTCCTCCTTGGGCTGCAACTTACACATGATGAGATGCAGGATTATCAGAGAAAGATTCCAACTTCAGTAATGACAATGAACGCTTGAGGAGCATGTGGTATGCTAATTTAAAGAGAACTTTACCATAATTTCATCCCCAAATTATATCTCTTTTATATTTTCGTTCTGGGAGGGAACCCACCAAGAAAATCTACTGGGTTTAGCTGTTTCATAAAAAAGGTCTTTCTGTTTCTTCTTTCAGTAGAGTTTGTTCCTGGAACTCCTCTCTCTATAGACATCCTGCTTGTATAGTAGCCAGGATTTTTAAATACTGTGTTCACATCAATCAATATTTAATCATCTACATCCAGTTACAAGGTTACAGGAACACCTAGGAATTTTCATTAAAATTTAAGAAATGTTCAAAAGCTCTCTTCATTTTCATTAGGAAAAATATCTTCCACGTTGCCTTACACCATCCGTGCTCAGATCTAGAATGGACACAAACATGATCAAAGTACAACTATGAAGCCGCAGGTAAAACCTTTAGTGCAAGGGTATGTTTCCAGATGGACGGGGAATATATGCTTGAGAGAAAGCCTACAGTGAACAAAACTCTAGATGTAGTAATAACCTACAGTTATACAGGGCGACATATTAAATTCTCCTAGTAAATTCCAAAAGGTGCTGCCCTAATAAGATACAGGTTTCGAGATGGGTGTCATTTCTAAATTATCCCTTTCTTCTCTCCAGGCAAATTACAGAAAAAGCCATTACCTCTGAAACCATAAGTTTCAGGGGGAAAGAGAGAATTTATATGTCATTTGGAAGTTTTAGCAAAATTATCCTAAATACACTGCTTATGGCATTATCCTCAGCAGGCATGCCCTTCACAGAACACCATGCAACTTATGTCCAGGAACCCTGAGTGACATAATGTCCCTGTTCAGCACACATTTAGGAACAATTTTACTCCCTGCTGAAATCCACAAATAATACCTTGAGATGTACATAATCAAAACACCTTACCTTCCATGAATAGAGAGAATCTGGTGATACCTATATATCCACAAAGAGATTCCACAAATACAATAGATCCTGCCAAGGTTACAACCTGGGAATGAGTTAAAGTTTGGGGAATTTGTTAACACGTGTTACGAGCATGACTAAAGGACTAAATGGTGTTCAGGAGTCTGAAAGTAATCCCTCATGATTGACTTCCAGAGACTAGTTTATGTTGCAGCAAAATGTGTCAGTATCAACTCTTAATAATGCAAGGGATATCATTAGTGTGCTCCTGGGAAATGTCCTGGCTGAAAAGGAAGCCCATTTCTTGTTTCCACATAGACTATTATTTACAGATGAAATCATATACACTTCTGGTGGCATTTAAACCACTTTATGTTTTTTATATCAATGCATGCTTTATCAGAATATTATTTATCTGAATAGCATGCTAAAATAAAACAAAAGTTAGCAACTGTAGTTTTCAAGATATTAGTCTATGTTAACAGAAAACCACATTTTGCATGTTTAAATAAGTTCTTAAATGTCAAGACAATGTTCTGTTATATGTGATTATCAAATGCCTCATTTGTGGGTCCAATTCCTACTTTGGTGGAATTTTTTCCATAGAGCCACATGAATACGGGTCTACCCAGCAGAAAGTTAGCTAGGCACTGAAAATGGTTCTCATTCTTTTTTTAGATTGTTGCTGTCCATGTTGAACATCTGAATTGGATGCTACTCAGTTCTGAAACTAATGTTTTGGGTAATTTTTTTCTTTTTATTTATTTTTTCCTAAATAGAGCTTTGAAGCCACATTGCATAGAAAGGCCACAGCAAATGGGGATTGAACTAAATTTAGGAAACCAGAAGAAAAAGTCCTATTTCTTTGTTCATCAAAGGAACTGGGAATCAGCCTTGCTTGCCTGCTGTAGAGAAGAGTTGCATTTGTGCCTCGGACCCTTCATCCTCCATCCCTACAGCCTTGGATATTTCCACTGACTGGGTTTCTCATGCAGCCTGCATCTTCAGACCATGAAATTTCTAAATGTTTATAAAAAAAAAAAAAACACCCATCTTCTCCTCTCAGACTGCAGTCGTAATCTGGGTAAATCCTAGATCATTGAACTCTTCTCTTCCTGGAGAACCGTAGGAAGACATCTCCACGACTAGTCATACTGGCTTATTCATCCCCTCCACATCCCTCATGTAAGTGGGATCCTGGACTGTATTCCTGACTCTGCTCGTGCTCTGACGCTCCATCCTCACCTTGATGGGAAAGCAGAAGTCTCTAAAGCACCTCTTGAAGTTTTCATCAAGAAAGGCATAGAGGATGGGGTTCAGGCTGCTGTTGGTGTAACCCAAGGCAATGCAAAAGTAATAGCTGGAGAGGGCGGCTGTGCTGTGGGATGTGCTACCCAGAGCCTCCACAAGGATGAAAATGTGAATGGGGGTCCAACAGATGATGAAGACCGCCACCACCACCAGGACAAGCCTGGTGATCCTGCGCAGGTTACGGTCTTTCTCTCGGGAGCCGGAAAGGAGTCGGACACTCTTCAGACGCAGAATCATCAGGGTGTAGCAGACAATGATTATGAGGACGGGGATCACAAAGGCAAAGACGAAAACGCAGATCTTCATGAAGAGGTCCCACCAGGAGTAGTCATCATCTGGGAACTGCAAGGAGCACTCGATGACATCCACATCTAGAGGAGACAACCAGAACCGCAAAGAGAAGCCTATTGTTAGTGTTGCCTGCAACAAAATGTTTTAAATGTGCATCTGAATACCGTTGATTTAAAGGTCCAATGACAGTGAGATGATGTTACCTCAAGCAAATGAGGAATAGATGCCATATTATAGTAACCATTCTATCATTGTGCATAAAACCGAGAAGCTAGAAAACAGCCATTTATTGGTATACGATGCTTAACAGAATAAATAAAGTTAGCTAGCAGTATGACTTATCGAGCTGTGAAAGTCGGTTTGGCATTGCTGGCTTTCAGGAGAGCTATATTGTGAGTTTATAGCATTGGCACTTATTCGCATCTCTGTGTATTAGCAGTTCTCCCAGACCTAAGGCTCTGGCAATTAAAGCTAATGTCTATTTGTAATAAATGACTGAAGATTTCAAATCTAGCCATTGAATTAACAAATACCAACTTATCTGAAAAACATCCACCGCTTTATGTGGATCCACAAAAACTGATGGAGAAATTTGTCTACCTGATGACCCAGGAATTGTGATTTAAGGGAACCAAGCATGCTCATTATGATTAAGGGGGTTGCTGAAACATTAATAAATTTGGGGAGGAGAATAAGAAGAACAAAAAGAAGGAGAAGGAGATTAAAAGGAAACAAAGAAATACGAATAGAATCATCATCATTATCAAGGGAACTTTAAATAAATCAGGCACATTTTTCATTTTTACCATTACTATGTAACTCAGATAAAACAAGTGTGTGTGCATGTGTGTGTGCATGTGTGTGTGTGTGTTGTGTGTGTGTGTGTTGTGTACACATATGCTTAGAAAATGACTTAATTTGCTCTGCTTCTCTTCAATAGATTGAATTCCCTTGGAGTGACCTTAATATTAAAAAAGGCCCAGGATCAGTAGTTTTTAAATTACTTTCATGGGTTGGGGCGGTCCACTTACACATCCCCAGACTTCCCATCCCCCAAGGCCAGCCAGCCCCACCTCCTTCTGCCCCTGAGCAGTCAGGAAGCACACAACATGTGGATTTCACTTTGCAGTGTCCTCCCTCACAGATGAAGAAGTCATGAACAGAACTGTCAGTGTCACTTTTGTTTAAAAATATTTTATTTAGACATAGAAAAGATCTGTTTAAAAAAATAGCACAAGAAATATATTTTAAGATAACAAAACTGCTGTATTATAAATGGGTTCAAAAATAATTTATGGTGATCTTAATCAAATAGGCTTTACCAAAACTAAATGTCTCTTATTAGAATTTCAAGTAGACGTACTGTAAAATACAAAATATGGAATCACTTTGGACACCAATAAAGATGGCTATCATAAAAATCTTTGAACTTTAAGTAGTAAATGAAAGCTCCCAGAGTAAGTGGTCATTTTGATTCCCTAAAAAGTCATTTCCACTGTTTCTATGAAGACTATCAGAAACTAACAAGGAATCATTTCAGTTTTTGCTTTAACTTCTATAGGAAATTATTTAAAATACTGTCTTTTTAATTTACCATCACTGTTATAGAAAGAAAAATATCTATTAAACTTTTGGTGGATAGTATTTTTTAAATGTCAATTTAATATAAATATCCTACTATAGATTTTTATTTTTCTCTTGAATCTGGTAATGGTTTCCTTGAAGGTCAGAATATACATTTTTTTTGGGGGGGGGGCATATTTCCTGCTTAACTTTTGCATTCTGCATTATCTCTTTCTCATGTTTGTCCTCAGTTTAAATGTCACCTCAGAGGCAGTTAGGTACAAGTCTCTCTCAGTCCTTCCCTTACAAATTACCCTATGTGTTGTACTCACTCTATTTCCTAGACAAAAGTTTTATCAATCCATAATTATGTGTTATGTTTCCTAATATTTTTCTCTCAATATAGAATGTAACGAACCTTAGGGTAGGAACCTAGCCAATGTTCAACCCTTAGCAAAGGGTGATGCCTGGAACACATAATGCATAGAGAATACGTTTTAAAATAAATAAACAATTATATTCCATGTGAATATCAAAACCTTGAAAATACATATTATTTTCAGTAGTGAATATGCCAGAGTCACCTGCCTATGTCAAGCAAAGCAATATAAGGACTATTTTATGATTCAGAATCATCATTCAACCATCTTGCAAGGAGGAGGAATTCAATAACTATTTGATAAACAGGTGAAATAATCAACAATAGCCAATTTTACAGCAGTGTAGGAAATAATTATTGATGGTAGAGTTGGAAATATCACACAGAAATATCAATGAACTGGAATTTATACCTCAAGAAGAGGTACTCATCAAGAAATTCTAGTCCAAATCTGCCATTTTCATTAAAAATCCAATTTCCAGAAAAACTATACATTTTCAGGTTGTCTTTACAATTTCCACAGTTCCAAAATTAGTCTTTCCTCAGATAATGCATAACTCCACATATGTGGAATCTAGAAAAACTGATCTCCTAGAAGTTAAGAGCAGAAAAGTGGTTACGAGAAAGTGGGGAGATGGGGAGTCATGGGCTAGGGAGAGGCTGGTCGAGTACAAAGTTACAAGTAGACAAAGAAACTAGTTCTAGTGTTCTAGTGTACAGTGGGTTGGCTATAGTGAACAATGCATGTTCAAAATAGCAAGAGCTATTTTCTTACCACATAGAAATGCGAATGTTTAAGGTAATGGATATGCCAATTACCCAACTTGATCATTCCACAGAGCATACAGGTATTAAAACATCACATTGTATCTCATAAATATGTAGAGTTATTATGCATGAATAAAAAAAATTAAAGCAGTCTTTCTTTTTCTTTTATATTAATATCAAAGGGCCTCAGCTTCCACTGATACGTGTTCCAACATCTTATGGCTTCCATAATTACAGAGTTAGATTTTATAGCCAAACTGAAGATTTTCTTGTGTGTATCCTTTTTGGTTAATAACAATGCTATTTATGCTTGTGGTTTTTATACTAATACTTAGCTATCATAATAACAGTAAGAGTCAGATTATGAATTCTCGAAGTATATAATTTGTGCACCTACAATATGTAGAATGTCAGATGTCGAACACAGTATGTAAAATACAATATGTAGAATATTACTCTATCTTTACAGAGTGAAAATGATGTTATATAAAAGAGCCCTCAGTATTGAATGAATATCCTGACAAAGGTGGATAAACATAAGCAATAAGCCTGGACCTATGAAAGGCCACTCTATTGGATGACAATGCTGATATTTATCAAGTACTTACTTCACACAGGGGACCACTTTGCCAGCTTTCCATGCATCTACTCAGTAGATCTGAAAAATACCTGAACAGGTAAGCTCTGCTGTTAACCTTATTTTGCATATGAGAAAACTGAGGCACAAAAATCTAAGTGACAGTTCCACAGGGACAATGCCTGTAAATGGTGAAATCAGGATCTAATTCCAGGCAGATTTTTCCAGAATCTGTACTCTTACCAAAAAAGTAATACTGTAAACTTTGAGGCATTACCTGAGCCAGTGTTTGTCCAGGTGTGTGTATTCCAATGTGATTGATGACTGATTCCCTTTCAGTGAACCTTCTCTACAAACATGAGACTATGAACCACCAATGTCAGTCAGCCCTGATCCAGTGCAGAGAGCATATCTGGACTTCCTCTTAAGAGTCCTAACATGCATGCACTACAACGCTCCAAAATGAATGCAGAAAATGTGGCGGTCTTTCATCACATCAACAAAATCTATTTTTGAATTTTTTTTTGAAAGGAAGAACAGAACCCTCTTATAAGACTACTTTAATTTTCTCCCATTTTTCTTTTTTATGCTGCACAAATTAATCTTCTGCTGACATTGGTGTATCTTTTCTTCCATTGCATCTGCACACATTTATCTACAACATCTCCTTCCTGGAAAAACCGCATCTATCTTCATTTCCTCTTTCAAAAGCCTAATTGAAATCCATTTCTTCTAGGATGTCATTTTCTGACAGAGATTAGAAGGAATACAGCAGATAAGTCTACAAGTGTAACATGAAATATAAAAATTGTTTATTTATTTGCCCTGGGAAAATCATCTATCTTCTTTTATTATTTAGGCCATTCTTCTCACTCTCCTAGTTTAACAGCAGCATCTGCTCTTAAATTGGAGTTTTGATATACAAACACCTCAGTGTCAGAAGACTTTCTTGTAATTTATTTCCATTTGCTGTAGGCAAGAAAACATGTGATTAATCATATTTTTAAATGTTTCTCTAATAGAGAAAATTAGGCATTTTCTTAAAATTTGCCATGTATTAGAGCTTATCACTCATTGGCTGTGGTTGAGCTGGAAATTCATTTTATAGTTTTAGATGAAAAAAAATGTTTTGTTTAAAAACAATGGATACATGTCATTATAATGTATCAAACCCATACAGGATACAACACCAAGAATGAACCTAACTTGTGCTCTGGACTTGGCGGGGATGTTAATGACGGAGGTGGCTGTGCCTGTGTGAGGGATAGGGTGTAAGTGGGAACTCTGTACTTTCCATGCGATTTTGCTGTGAACCTAAAACTGCTCTTAAAAAAAAAAACTGTCTAAAACCAAAGACAAGCTGTGCATGTACAACGCAAGATAAGCGACAATTATTTTAGCACCTATATTTTTACTATTACCTGGAAAGTCTTTGCTGCGCATATTCAATTATCTGTAATCACAGGTATCACAAACCTCCCTAATAAACTGGATCATTCAGACACTTGCTGGAAACATTAAATAGCATTTATAAAGTTCAAAGTGAGTTGTTCTGCTGCCCTCCCCTCAGCAAATTTCTATTAAAAACCAAAGATATTTTCCATAGCTTTGTCTTTTACTATTAAAGCAAAATTATTCCAAAAACAGTAGTTCTCACCTTGGCTCAGGTCAGAGTAACCTAGGAGATATTAAAAATCTTGACAACCAGGTCACACTAGAGGTCAATTAAACCTTGGAGGCAGGACTTGGGTGGCAGTATATTCTAAAGTCCCTAGGGTATTCTAAAATACAGCCCAGAAATACAGGGAAAACATCAGTTATCCTGTTTGCATGGGGCAAGAACTAATATGTCCAAACTGAATGGTTGTGCTCATCTGTAACTACTATCCATCTGTGGACTCGATTTTTGAATGGCCTACAGCCAATGAAGCTGTCACAATGACGTGGAGATTAACACTGAAGGATAAAGGTGAAGAGATCTAGCATATGTCTCTAATGATTCAGTTTCTTGTTAGGGAGACAAAAAAAGGAAAGAGCAGTGTGTCATGGAGTTGCCAGATTATATTTTCAGAATCCACAAGCCTGTAGATTTTTGCTTCATTTCACCCATCCAGATTCTGATAAGCATTTCCAGAATAGGAGATGGTGGGTATCTGTGTCTTGGTAATGTTGATATCCCATTTTCTGCATTTAGAGGTGGAAAGGAACACAGAATGATTTTATAAAATCAGACATTATATTTTCATTGTTTTTTTTTACTTTTATATGTGCCACTAGATATGTGCCCTACTTGCTCCCAAATTAAAAATTTGTATAATTAGAAGTTATTTTTTTTTTAATAAATGGAATGAAAATGATGATTCTTACCTTCCCTGACTTTGGTACCTCCAAGGACTATTGCAGATATGCCAACAGAAGATGACAGGAGCCAAATACAGATATTGATGATCTTTGCCTTCAAGGGTGTGCGGAAATCCAAAGCCTTCACAGGGTGGCACACAGCTATGTAGCGGTCCACACTCATCATGGTCAGAGTGAATATGCTGGTAAACATGTTGTAGTAGTCAATGGAAATGACTATCTTGCACAGCACATCCCCAAACGGCCAGGAATTCATGAGATAGACAGTGCTCTGGAAGGGCATGGTGGTAGTAACTAAAGCATCCGCCAAAGCCAGGTTAAATATATAGATGTTGGTCGCTGTCTTCATCTTTGTGTATCTAGAAGACAAGAAGCAATAGCATTTTTCTCCATCTTTTAAGTCAAAGTCATAAGGTGAATGTGTTTGTGACTACTTTGGGTTATTAATTTTGCCTATTTATTTACTTATTCTTTAAATATCATTGTGTAAATCTAGAAGGAGTGTTCCAGACAGTCAGAGTAGTTGAAAACTGGGCAGAGATCTCTGAGTTTATTGAGTTTTTTATTTTAGAGGTTTTTATAAAAATATTTTAATGAAAAATTATTTTAAATATTTAATAAAAAAAGATAATGAAGGTAGCATTGGTAGATAAAAAGATGATTAATTAGCTCTTTTCAACAGAATTGCACTTAGTAAAGGTCTTTATTTTGTGACTGACAATTAATTCTAATTCGACAAAGGTGTTTGACTTTTAGCATGTTAGACACTTTATCCTTTTCTCTTCCTTGTGTAAAACAAAGTTAAAACATTTTCTCCTAGAAGTTATTTTAAGAAATTAATTATTGTAATTATTCTATCTTTTGAACATGCAAAATGGTTTTTGATTCTTATAAATGTCCAGTTGAAATGTCTAAAACAAAATTAGATTTGTTGGTTTTTGTTTTTCAGCATGTCACTAGCTTGTCATTTTAAGTGTATTTTATAAATAAATTGGACTGAGTTCTCTTACACATATCACAGCACTTCTGTAGCAGAGGAGAAATAATTCTATCTCTACTCCAATCTCAACAGATTTTTTTTTTACAACACATATTTGTTTCATCTTTAAATGAAGGAGACAGTAATTTTCAACACAGGTTCAAAGATTGCTTTTAAGTCCAAATTATTTATATTATAACAAAAGTTTAGAGCAATTCTGTTTTCACCTAAAACTGAATTTTGCTTATTTTGCTTGGAGAATGCTTCTTCCGAAATCCATACAGCATTAAGAGACCAAGAGGGGAAATCCACTGCTTTCTACACACCCCAGATGTGTAGACCTTCTCACAGTTAATTCATCTGGGCCCCCTTCTATATATATAAATTTCCACATGAGAAACATCTTTTAAAATTCAGTGAGAGAGCAACCCTGGCTTCCCTTAGTGGCAGAATAGTCTAACGTGAAGTCCTACTGTTCTGAGTCTGAACTCACTATGTGACTTGCTGAGTTTCAGTTCCTGATAAATAGGGACAATAAAACCTAACTGGCAGTTCATGAGATAAGGGCAGCCGATGGCTTGACTCATAGGATCACAATTCACCCCCAGAGTCATGCCCGCATTGCCCATCCAATCCCCCTCTCCCTTCTCATCGTGTTAGGAAGTGGATACACTCATAGTTGGATGGAAAAGCATTGTAAAGGCTGGGTTGGTGTCCATTTCAATGTTCTGTTACTAAAAGAGTGATTTAATCTAGAAAATAAGTACTCTATTTAAAAATATGTTTTGTGTGTCAAGCAAGTATTTCTACTCAGAGCCAAAAGTTTCTAATGGGGAAGACTGAAATGTGATTTCCTCGGATATTGTCTTCTTAAAAATGTGATTCTATTAAGAGTTGTAATGCAAAAATAAATAAATAATAAATAAAATTTTAAAATATGATTCTATGTTTGAAAAAAATATAGCTCATACACCTATCTTGTACTCTTTCACTTTTTCCCACCCCCACCACCAAATTCCTGCTACTGACCAAGATTCCACCAGGCAATATCTTTGGTGCCTACTCTCAGATTTTGTGACCCTTATATTTCCCTCTTTCTTATGAAGTTAGACTACCAGTCCTTGCTTTATAACGTTAGGGAATCCTGTGTTTAAGTCTTTTTTTTTTCTTCCAACAATATATAGATTTTAGAGGGTCATTTTAGTGTTTAGTGTTTCATCCCTATAACGAATAACTGAAATAATCAATTTGTAAAGGGAAAAGGCTTATTTTGGCTCACAGAGACTGCAGTTCATAACTGGCTGACCTCTTGCTCTGGGCCTGCAGCAAGGCAGCACATCATGGCAGGAGGACATGGCAGAGCAAACTGCTCACCTCACCACCAGTACAATGAGTGGGCTGGGAACCCACAGTCCTTTTCGAGAGCACACCACCAATGACCAGTCCTCCTACTAGGTCCCGCCTCTTACAGGCTCCACTACCCTCCTAGTAGTACCACCCTGAAGATCAAGCCTTTAACAGATGGACTTTTGGAGACATTCAAGATCCAAACTATAGGAGGGGCTCACTGTCCACCTTGAGCCTCAGTTTCTCCAATTATAAAATAGAAAAATATAATGTTTATCCCATAGAGTTCCAGAAATAATCAATGGAATGAATCTGATCCAAAGAGCATGTCTAATTTAATTTTTGTTCTCAAACTCATCCATATGGTGGGAAGCCACCAGTTAGCACAGCAAACAGAGGACTGTAGTTATAGGTAATGCTCATGATCAGATTTACCCAATTCAGTGTGAATATAAAAAGATAGGAGTAAAAGTGAAGACTGAGACCCGATACACTGGAGAAAAACTGACAGAATCATACATAAAATAAAACGTATCTTAAAGTAGTCACAAAATATTTAAAGGTAGTTTGCTTTTAGTTTTTTTAGGTATTTATAAGCAATATATGTCTAGAACTGCATAAAATTGACCTTATACAGAATTCAAATCCTATCATCCAGTCTTAGAATGAGAAATATGAGCATGGACAACAATCATAATAACCACTTATTTCAAAAAGCTCCTGTGTCAGGCACTGTCCATACATTCCACAGACTTTATCTCATTTAGTCCTCATAGTAACTCCACATGGTAAATGTTCATATCCCTGTTCTATAGATTAGGCAACTAAGAATCACAGAATTTCCTTAAATATTCTCACGGTTAGCTGGGTATAGTGACACACACCTGTCATCCCAGCAGCTCAGAAGGCTGAAGCAGGAGGATCACTAGTTCAAGGCCAGACTCAGTAACTTAGCAAGGCTGTAAGCAACCTAGTGAGATCCATTTCAAAATAAAAAAGGGTGAGGGTGTGGCTCAGCAGTTAAGCACCCTTGAGTTCATTCGCTGGTACCAAATAAATAAATAAATAGAATTCTCAGAGTTATAAAAGGCATAGCAGAAATTCAAACCCATCAATCTCCAGCACTTTATAATTTAATCCAGTACCTTGACTTTCAAGTGTCTTACTGATTCTCACAACAACTTCCCTTCTAGTTGGCATTTGAGATGTATAGCTTTTCTCTCATGGATTGGAAGAGTTCTGTGCAGGTAAGTTAGGTGCTTTGTGTAGCATCATGAGAGGTGGGACCTCAGTGGGAGGAACTGAAAGGGATATCAGGTGTCAGGGCAAAACCTCCCTTCCAGGGTTCTAAAGACACATGTTTATACACCTACATCACTGGAAGAGGAGAAATCCCAGGTATAACTAAAAGTGATGAATAAACTATGTGTTCAATCAATACTTGCTGATGATCTCTTAGGGACTACCTGGGACTGAATCCTGTGAGCATGTGAATTTAAAAGTAGACCTTTACCCTCAGAGACAATCCAGGTGAGCCGTCAGGTAATTGTTTATAGTTAAACACAAAACATGAGTCAGTTCTAACTATATGTCATTCACTGTATATCTTCTGGTGAAAAAACAAGGTAGCTTTGTGGCTCTGATAGGAGATGACATTATTTTCTATTTCATCCATGTTGCTTTACAAAATTTCTCAAGCATTTCAAGTAAAATGGCACCATCTGGGTGGGAAGCTTTGGCTTGTGTAGAAAAACTGGAGGTGGGTTGGCAGCAAGTGGCTGCACTTTTTAGCATACACACCGCAGGAGCATATGGCACTAAAAGAGCAAAGTCTGGGGGCTGTCCTCACTAAACTTGAGAATGTTACAAATCAAAGTACAATGCACAGGATGAGGTACAAGGGGAAGCTCAGGAAAAGGGGTCAACCTGGGATCTGGGAGGGGTGAACCTCAGGGGAAGAGTGTTTCAGAGAGATGAAATGCTCCCCCAGGACATCTTAGTGTGTTCTCTTTATAGAGGATGGGGTAGTGGCTTCTAACGTGACATCCATAGGCCCTTGTGTGATGGTAAGAGTACCAAAGTTATCTGCTGATGTGTCAGGAACAAAGGTCATCAGGCAGAGTTCCTAGGAGATGTGACACTTGCCATGCTAGACACAGGGCCCATTAGGAGGATCTCTGTCCTTATGACTCAGTCATGAGGGCTTCTTGTCCTTTTCCATTTGCTTGCTATGGTCCGGCAACACACAGGAGGAAGAGATGATTAGTGAATTATTGGCATCCTTTGCTGTCTATTGCATGAGCTTGGTTTTTGTTTTGTGATTTCAATGATGCTTCTTTAATCAGGAACTCCATTTCACCTTCACAACAATAGCACAATAAGCCTTTAATCTTGATGACTGATCACCAGCACACATTCAGCTTTATTGATTTCTGTTATTTTTAGCCTTTACCTCCAACGTGCCCCATGTTTCCTTACATACACCCTCTCGTCTCTCTCCATTTATATTCACGTTCCCTCCTCTGTCTTCATCCCTTCATTTTCTCAACATGTTCTTTCAGTGCCTACCCCACAGACAGCAACATGTTATCATTTGAGGATGACTGAAAAATAAAATCAACATTCAAACCCAAATTATATACAAATTCAAATTATAATATGCACTAAAAAAAGAAGAGAGAGATCAGTGAAATCAGGGCATATTTGAAAGAAGAGAGGATGTGGCAGGACCTTCAACTTTGAGAAAGATTTGGATGGAGAAGCTAGTGTCTCCTTCAAGAATAGGTGAGAAAAGGGATTTCCAGGTTCAGGGATGCTGCTGAGGATTGGGGGGGGGGTGACTGACTGGGAACAGTGTATTGGGTCCCAGAAGACCTTGAACTCCAAAGGACAAAAATCATTTTAACATTTATTATTTCTTATGTCACAGACATTATTTCAGAAACTTCTTTTTATTTGGCAAAGTTGTCGTGATGATCAAACAGCACACACAGAAAATTACTTAGCAGTGGGGCTGGTCCTTGACAGTTGTGC